TTTAATTAGCAGTTTCTATAGAAAAACATGGAACACTGCAAAGATCTGAAACTGGGATGAAGATTCATATTTCAACAGGACTATGAGTGCGAACACAAAGCCAAAGCAACCCTTGACTGGCTTAAAAAGAACTTGGAAGCCCTTGAGTGGCCCAATTAAAGTCCAGACTTAAGTCCCATAGTAAATCTGTGGCAGGAATTTAAGAGTGCTGTACACCACCACTCCCCCAGCAACCTGCAATAGCTGAAGCGATTTTACCTGGAAGAGTGGGTTAAAATTAAACTCACAAGATGTTGGTTACAACATACTGCAAAAGACCCGAGGCTGTAATTGCTGCAAAAGGAGGAGCAACTAAAGATTAAATTCTTAAGGCCTCATGGGGGTGAATACTTGTCCATGCTGCATTTTTCGGTCTTCCTTTTTCATTAAATGTTTCTTTTACATTAAAAATGATTGTGAATGAGAATATTAAGCCTATTCTGTTATTTGTTTTTAAAAAAACCTGTTCAAATGTGTTTCTTTTTGAGGTTGTAACAGCAAAATGTGGTAGTAGTCCAGGGGAGGTCAATACTTTCTTCATGCACTGTATGTATAAAATGTACATTTTCCTTGCAAATTGCACCTAACATATCCTGCAGATTGGAGATTTCTCCCTTAAATGTGACAAATAATGTGAATTGTCCTTCAATATATGACGATAATAGAATATTGTTAATTCAGTAGTACAATAAAATGTCTTGAGCAGAAGAATTGCACATACTTGAGAGCACTGAAACTACAGCACTCTTATATGAAAAATACACAACAGAACAGCTAGCTGGGTGTAGAGGGAGGCAAGACAACAGCACAGAGTAAAGAGCTGGTGGAGAAGTTGCACGCTTTTTAAATGATTACACAGACAGAAATGTGCGTGAGCAAAGGTTTCACAGGATTGGGAAGACTGGTACCCAATATGGAAACTGTATGAGTGAATTCTACAGATGATAAACCTGCAGTTGAAAAGAGAACCCTGTATTGTATAGACGTGAGTTTGACTTCTGAATTGGTATTGTTCGGTTACTTCAGATTCCCTATTCAAAGTGTTCGGCAAAGTGTCGAAACTTGCACTTTAAGATAAAGCTCTTGAAAATCTGAAGTGCTTTATTACACTATGTAAAGTAACAAAGCATATGATAAGCAAGTTTCATAATATGATGTTTAGGATTTTCAAAGAGTAAATTTTATAATTTCTTTTTAATAATGTTCTGTTACCTTTGCACTGTTTGTATTCTCTTAAACATGGAGAAATGTAAAAATGTAAGCAGAGGATAAACAACAATATGGGGATAAACAACAAAGGTGGGGTATGGTGTTGACTATGTTAGTCAAACATTTATAAGCTCCTTCTGCCAGTGAGAAATTATACAAGACAAGTGGTCAATTATACACCAGATTCTGGCAGCAAAACATGCAGTCCATAAGATTGCACTGAATATATCCCTCAAAGTTTGTGATGAGCAATATTATGTATAATCCGTACATGACTGTGAAATCCGAGTTGAATTGCTAAAACTGATGAATTAGGTATGGTGAAGATTGTAACATGAAAGCAAGCTCTAGTAGGCACCTGAGGAAGTCAGATTGTTGTTGTAGAATCACCCTGGATGATACTTCCACAGCCATAGCCTGGACTTTCCATTATTAAGGACCTATTGTGATTATGTAAGACTTATAATGTTTGTGACATTTTATTATTAGTGTGCTGCCAGCATTGGAATGGAATTTTATGATACAGACCAAGAGATACCAAGTTCAATAACACATCGTGTACAGAGTTGTCAGTGTCACATAGTAATTAGGTATGAGGTTAGAGTCCTAACCTCAGTCACCAGGCTTTCGAACTGAATCAGAAAATTAAGAGGAGGATGCAGAAAACAACGTTTGCCTAAAAAAAAGCTGCATTTTTTAGGAGTACCAGAATAGTATTCTTTCACCTTCATCCATCATTATCAAATTGCATTTGACAGCATTACATTTCAAGGTTGGTTTTTAAGCTTGTACATAAAGTGTGAATAGCTGTTGTGTATTTTACCTGTAGTACAAGTTCTTGTGTAGTATATGAAAAAAGTAACATGTCAGATTTTATTCTGTCCTTGACGTATAGCTTACAGAGTTTTTCTAAACAATTTCTAGCAATTGAGGATGTAGCCTTGGATTTCTGTACATTAAGGTATTTCCACATTTCTTTGCACAGCAGTGTAAAACAACTATAAAAGCCATTCAGTGTTAGATGAATGTACAGTAGGAATACATCACTTATAAAGTGTCTTAAAAAAAACAACAACATCAGTATATAAACAGATCTTTTATAATGTGGGCACTGTACTGGTACCCAGGAGAAAAGATAAGAGTCACTTCTCCTTCAGTTAGGTCTGTATGGGGAGGGTATGAGATTGTGTCTTCGCTTGGGGAAAGGCGTATCCAAACATGCTGTAACATGACTTCCTCTATTACAGTGTACAGAACAAGTAGTTTATTTATAACTAGCAATTTAATAGCATGACATATCTGCCTGGAGAAATAATGGCTTAGGAAGAGGTTCTTTGAGAGGCGCAGTAGCATGAAGGGCATTTTTTCTCATCAGTGGTTTAATATGCATAAACCATTTTGTTTGGCATTCAGAACATTCTGGTTTAGATTGTCCACATGAATAGACATGGTGATATATTGTGTACATATATCTAAAATATGGTAAATCTAAAATATCAAAATAAGTATACCAGCCATGTTCTTGTGATTAAGGTAGATTAGTGTCTCAGTTTGGATTTGAGAATATATAAGTGGTGATGTTGAGTTGGGAGGTGTGTTTGTGTACTACCTTAACTATACCCTGATTGAAGACAGCATTACCCAGGGTAACTGATAGAAAATTGTTTGTAGCGAGCTTGTTTAGGTAGGAAAAGTTCAGTCTTGCCCTAAAGCCACAGGTTGATAAGCATTCAGAAGACTGTATAAACAAGGGAGAGCACACCTGCTGTGCTACTTCTCTCCTTTAAGAAAGGACTGACCCTCCAGGACAACTTCAAGGCAGATTTAAGCAGGCTTAAGGCTTGATTAGAATTACTGTTGGAAATGGTCTTTTAACCCTTCCAGCTATGTCATGATAAGCATGATGCTGTTCTTTGAACCGTATGTTCAAAACAGTGGTGCCAAGCACGTTAACTAACCCACATTACATTTTCCCCCCCTCAACAGCAACAACAAACCATCTACCCCGCAATGGTTAGTACAGCGCTGAGCTTCATGCAGCCTCAGCCGAGGTCAAGCACTCCATTTCTAGCTTCTCAAGGGCTTTCTCTATGTGTTGCCAATGTACTGGTAAAACAGACTTTAAACTCTTGTCAGCACAGTTACTGGTGCATGCATCACAGCCCCACTCAAATAAACCTGTCACAACACAGACTCGGCAGCTAGAGAAGAGTACAAGGGCAGGCCTCTAGCTTTTCATTCGAGCAGCACTAAACGTGCGCAGAGTGCCCAATTATTTCAGCATTATTGAGCAAGCCTACAGGAGGACCCAAGCCTCGCTACATTAGATTTTCTTTAGTAATTTGCTCAAGTACCGCTGAGGACACTTAAAGGGCTTAAAATGGTGGCTGCAACCAGCTTCCTTTCTGGGTTATTAATTCAGTTTTTTTCCCCTTCTCTCTCTCTCTCACTCACTTTCTTTTTCTCGGTCTGTGAAATTAACTCACGCTGTATGCTGTGCTGTGGTGCTGAAAATATATTTGGCCCCAACTTTTGGTTTATCGAAGGTTTATCTATCTTTTTTTTGCCCAAAACCGCTTACAAAAGGCATTTTGTGTCTATGCCCTTTTGAGGTAGTTTTTTTCTGGCTTTTGTTCTCTTTGAAATCATACACCAGGATGTATCAGGGAGTACAGCATACTGTCAAAACATCTTTTTTTCACCTTAGAAATATCGCAAGACTACGCCCTATGCTGTCATTGACTGTGGCTGAAAAGCTGATCAACATATTTGTATTCTCTCGAATTGACTACTGCAATGCTCTACTCCCTGGGGTATCTAAATCTACTCTGAACAAGCTGCAGTATGTCCAAAATTCAGCAGCCAGAATCCTGACCAGGTCTAGTGCAAGTGTTCACATTACTCCTATCCTGGAGTCCTTGCACTGGCTTCCGGTCAAATTCCACGTAGACTTTAAAATCCTCATGCTCGCCTATAAGGCTTTACATGGCTTGGCACCTCAATACCTGTCTAAACTTTTATCGCCCTACTCCCCACCTCGCAACCTCTGCTCTTCAAATTCTGCCCTCCTTACTGTCCCCCAAGCCCAGCTACATTGTATGGGCGACAGGACCTTCTCCTGCTATGCCCCCAAGCTCTGGAACTCTTTGCCCAAGGATATCAGGGGGTCACCTTCTCTAAACTCCTTCAAATCCAGACTCAAAACCTTCTTCTTCAGAAAAGCCTTTACTTAACTGGTTCCATTCTTCACCCCTCTGCTCTTCTTAATACCACCTTCCACGGTCTCCTCTATTGTTATTGTTGTAATTATAATTGTGTCCTATCTTGTGAAATCTTCTTATTTATTGTTGTAGTCTTCTTATTTATTGTTATTGTCATCCTGTAAAGCGCTTTGAGAAGCCACCTTTAAAGGCGCTATATAAAATAATGTTTATTATTATTATTATTATTATTATTATTATTATTATTATTATTTTACACACAACCATGTTTAAATACATGAAGTGGATAAGCAGAAAACAGTTACCAAATTATTTCTTCTACCCATGGGGATGTGAAATGTTTCTGACTTTTCTTTTTGCTTTCCCCTCACAATACATGCATGCTATAACTATCAGTAATTATGGTGTTAATGATAGTGCTGAAGAGGCCTTGGTTCATGAGACCCAGTGTAGGATATTGCAGCTTGTATGCTGTTTGGATGTGTGAGCTCTTGCTGAATGGGTTGAATATCTGGGCCCTTTTTCTCACAGCAGCAGCAGCTTCAGGCTCAGCATCTGTCACATGGACACGGACTTCCAGTGCCTCTGACGCCTCATCCCACAGGCCTGCAGCCCCCCACCATTCCTCCTGTCGGCAGCAGCGCCGGCCTCCTGGCCCTGTCCAGTGCTCTGGGTGGCCACCCACAGTTGCCAATCAAGGATGAGAAGAAACACCATGACAACGATCACCAAAGAGGTAAGGAAATCCTCCAGTATGTCCTAGTGGTTTACAGTGCTGCCAGAACAACAAAAAACATGTAATAGGTTTATTCCATGCTGGAAAAAAAGAAGCAAGAAAACACAATGTTTCGGCCGTGGAGCCTTCTTTACCTCACACCTGAAGAAGACTCCACGACCAAAATATTGTGTTTTCTTGCTTCTTTTTATCAGCATGGAATAAACTTGTTACTTGTTCCTTTGCAGCCTACAAAAGCTGACGCAGCTACCCACCTGAACTACAACAAGAAACATTGTCACTAGTACCATTGCGTTATGCAAGGATACATAATCCTCAGTCTCTGAAGACCTGGCTTAATCACTGTGAATGGGAGTGAAAACAGAAACCAAAATATTCTGATTAAAATTTGTGTTTTTCAGATTTTCATAGCTCTTGTTTTGCAGTATTTAGCATTTTAGCCAGGAAGTGTACAGTGGAAATCTTAGATGGGTTTCAGCACTTTATATGTATTGTCATTTCCAGTTATCCAGAATGACTGCCATTTATTGTGAAAGAAGGCTGTTAGTGCACATTAAATTGAATTGTGATAGAATTAACATGCTTTGTTGTGATTGCTAATTACTTGTCCCTTTGTTGGAAACCTGGGAGTGCGGTACCATGAAGGGCAAACCACGCAGTTATAACTAGTAGAATATACTTAATTATATAATGTTTACAGTTTTATTCCTGTGTTCTTATTTGAAAATTTAACACTAACAGCAACTAGTTCACACACAAAAGACCACCACTTTCAATTAAGTCATCCATAGTACAGAAAAAATCACCATCGTCAAATTACGCTTGGCAAATACTCAGGAGGAACAGATACCCTTTTCCACCCTAGTTTTATTACTTGTGATTTCTTTCTTTCAGCAATTTATATAATTATGTTTGAATGCTGCTTTCATCTGGTTTTGTTACTGAGAAATTAGATAAAATTGAGTAAAATCAGCCATTGGTAATAAAAAAAATTAAGTAAGAAATAGAGGAAAATGTAAGTTTTAAATTGTAATTCAGAAAAACCCTGCAAAGAAATTAACAAATAGCTAAGTGTTCTTTGTGTCCAGCAGCCTTAAAGAGTAGGATAGTCTTTTCATTGTTGTACTTTACTGTTTCTGTTTAGAAATGGAAAATCTACAGTATTTTTTAGCACTTCTAGCTTAATGCTTTTCTTGGTCTTGTGAATTATAATTTATTAATTTCACTTATATTTGCTATGTGAATTCTTTACTTGACAAAGTCCATAATTATTCATATAACACTTTACCAATGCACTGAAATAATCTGTTTCTAATTTGCTTATTCAGTGTATCTTCCAAGCAAAAAGCTATGTGAATTATTTTCAAAATGGTGTTTTATTGGGCTGAACGGTTAATGGCCATAGAAAATAATTGTGAAAACACAACTAAAAATCAGGCATGTTGCATACAGTACAGTATGATCTAACCAAAAAGTCCAGATAATGTTTGCTGCTACTTTAAACTGGTTTAATTCCTCACACAATACTATTTAAATGTTCTAATTATAAGCATTTTTAATTGATTTATTTGATACATTTTGTGAGAATTTTACACAATACAAACATATTTTGTAGGGAATTTTATGTCAAAACAGTCGCTATCACTGTAAATTTGTTTTCCATTTATGTTTTTGTAAATCATATAGCATCGTAATGACACACATGAAGTAGGTGAAAATTATTGCATTAAAATTGTGAGAATATGTGAAAGAACATATTTGCTTTGTATTTTTTCTCCCAGCTTAAAATCTAATGTTTGTTTTTTCTTTCAAAACCTGCTGCATTTTATACCACAAAAACAGATAGAGATTCAGTGAAGGTAAGTGTAGATTTCTTGTGTTTTTAAATGTTTGATGAATTATTGGATTAATGTGTTTATTTGGTTAAAAATAAAGATTGTTGTATAAAAGAACCAAGAGACCCCATATTTATGCAGGTTAACTTCTAAAGTGCATCATTAGAGATGTTAATTTTTTTCAGAAATATTAGATTTTAGTCATTTGTTTTCATTCAGTTCATATTGATTCAGTAATAACAAACATTACTTTAACAATTAAATTATTGAGAATTATGATGTTGTAACTTGTTTAGAATTAAACAAAGTTGTGTCAATGCAGGGTTCTTCAAGTAGCAATTAGGATCTGAGTGCAGTGGAGTTCAGTTTCTTCCTCCTTACCTTACAGGTTTTTATGTATGTAGAGATACACTTAACATGGTTATTAGCCTAGATTTTTGCATCAGACTGTTAGAGGTTTAAAAGTGAAAAAAGTGTGGATTTTTTTGCTTTACGTGGATTTTTGAGAATTTCCGCATGTTGAAAAATAGAGCACATTTTCACAGTTAATTGTTTCTAACATTGAATTGCAAGTAGCTGCCAGGCTATTTCACTAGCAGTGATAGAACTTTGTCATTTCAATACCGCATGGTGTTAAAATGGTCTTTCTCCATCACTGATTTGGCAGAGGAGCAAAGTGATTAAATTCAAATGGCTGGCTATTACACTAGCAATTTAAGTTGGCATGGCCTTTAAAACTGTATACAAAAGACTCAAATTACAAAGAGTAAATTAAGCAGGGGTAATAGATTTCTTTGCTAAAATCGTTTTTTGTTTCCATCTTTGGAGAGTTGAAACAAAATACTATTGTACTTTAATCCGAAAGTGTACAGTACTATATAGTGTTCTAAATACATATGTGATAGGAAACTGTGTACAATTCCGTGACACAGGTGTCCAAACTATGATTGTGAATGGCGAGACTGTGCTGTGTTGAAGTGTTTAGCTGCGTAAGGCGGTTCAGAAAGACATTCCCCAATGATATTTACTTCAACCTGTTGCATGTGTTCAGAGATTGAAATTTCCTTGGTAAAATTAATGATTGACTACATAAGCCCCTAGGTGTTGAACTGTGCATTTTGAGTATTAACTGTATTTAAATGCGTTCCAGGGAATCACTGGTGCTTGGAATTCAACACCACTTGTCTCTGGTGAAATTTTGCTGTTCAGATTTACCCTCTGGATGAGCTGAATTAGTGATAAGGCAGGCTTATTAGTTCTGCTTTGTTATATCATTTAAGACAATTCCTGTAAACCGTGACATTTCCTTGCTGTGCTGACTTTTTAAAACATCAGAGTAATTTATTTTAGCACTAAGGGAACACTGCCAGGCTATCAAGGTAAAATAGTTTGCTAATTTCTTTAAATGTTCTCCTTGCTGCCCGGAGCAGCAGTTTGTCGCTTGTACTATTGATCGGTTGCCCCTTTAGTCCCTGTGCGCGAAGAGAGGCTCTTTATGATTGTCTGCTATAAAGCTTGCAGTGATGCTTAACAGCTAGAGAGTGCCACTTGCTTGCAGCCACTGTCGGCATTGAGTTTGAAGTGATTTATTCCTGCAGGTTAATGCTCCTTACCATTTAGCAGGTAATGATTATGACACAAAATTCTTACTTGTATTTAATTTTCTCCTCCTCCCTTGCCTTGTCTATATGCCAACAAGTAGTGCTTATGTGAAATAAAGAGCTGGTTTTTGATCCTCCACTAAGGAAAATTTACGTGACTTCTTTCCTGAATGTATTTATTGTTTCCTTTTTCACCCTCTAAAAGCTTCTAATATCTGGGGAAACATCCAAAACCTCTCTGGCTAATTGTTTTTGCGTTTATCCTGCATTGTAGGTAATGTTTTATTGACAGAAGAGATTTCCCCAGTCTCCTGTTGTTTAATTGTAGTAAATACTGTAGTGGGTTTGAAGATCTCTCTTCATGTGAATCATGAGACAGAATAGGGTGTGTAATGGTGACATATGTCTGGTCTTTATGTACCAGTAAGTCTGTAGGTCTGTCTGTGCTGCAGTTAGAGGGTAGGGAAATGTGAGGGAGCCAACATTTTAGTGTGCTGCAAAATGGAGTAAGTTTGTGATTGAGGTTTTTCTATAATTGGAGATGGAATACAATTATTAAGATATAAAAGGAGTGAATAAAACTTTTTTTTTTCTTTTCTTTATTGAGCACTTTAAAGATTTTATGTGATTTCTTCGGTGTCATTTAAAGTCTTATGCATGTAACTTTTTATCTTCTTTGAAGTAAACAAACTGATGAAGAACTTATTCTATACAATGTTACAAATGTTTTATCTCCTAAATGTCAAAATTGAAAGCATGTTTTTCTGAAGTACATTGATGTAAACAATTTTACAGTATTTTAAAAAATCAATCAAAGTTTATTTATCATTAAATGCAGGTGCAGGACATGCACGTCTGTAGTTCCAGGGTTCTTCACAGCAGTTTATATCTGTTCTGTGATGTAATTTTGTTCCATGTTTTACTTGATGTCTTCTTTGTTGTCTTTGTTAATTGTAATGAAATATTCAACTTGGTAGTCAAAGAATACACGAATAATGGTCATGTGAATGCTCAAATTGGAACAGTGTAATTAGTGGAGTACCTCATGGATCTGTTATAGCATCAAAGCTCTTCTCAGTTTGTATCCTTATAAATCAGAGGTTCCTAAACCTGGTAGTGGTGGTATACACTAGCTGGTTTTAATTTCAGCTGATCTGCTCAGTTAGAGGTTATATATTACATATAAATCACAAATGTTAAACGTCTACCCTTAACATGCTTATGAAAGTAATGGTTTTGACCAGAAAGAGTGTGTATCACCAGGGCCATGGCTGGAACCCCTCAGCTAGATTCTGGTGAAGTTGGTAAATTAGTCAAATTCACAGATTACATTAGAAAAGGAGGACAATCAAACTTTGTAGAAGCAGCAATGAAATTCCAGATGATGTAGATAAAACTGAAGACTTGAATTAACAATATTATGTTTGTGCTACTGCAGAGAACTACATGCAGGCAACACATTATACTAATAATATAAAAATATACAAAAATATAATCTATAAATATAAGACTGGAAACACTGAGTTTGAAGAAGCTGATAGTGAAAAAGGCTTGAGTTAATTCATCATGTTCCTCCTCTTGACAGTGTTTGGAAATATTGTATAATTTAAATGAGGGGATGTTATGATAACATTGCACAGTGCATTAGTATGATCTCATTTAGAATACTGTGTGAAGTTTTGTAATAGTGTTACAAAACATATTTCTGCTTTGGAATCAGTATGAAGAAGGGTGACTAGATACATTTCTAGTCTTAAAACAGTCGTATACTGACATTGCAAAAGCAAATGAGTCTTTTTATTTTAGAGCAGCACGGTGGTGCAGTGATTAGTATTGCTGCCTTGCAGCACTGGCTTCCTAGGTTCAGTTTTGAACATGGGATGCTATCTGGATAGAGTTTGTTTTTTCTTTCCAAGTTGGTCAGTTTTCTGGTTTCCTCCCAGAGTTAAGACATCCTGGTAGGTGAAATGGCTTCTGGGAAAACTGTCCCTGGTGTGAGAGTCTGCACCCTGACATCCCTTGCAGAGTATATCCTGCCTTGTGCCTGTTGCTTGCTGGGATAGGCTCTGGCTCCCCTTTGGCCCTGAATTGGATGACGTGGTTAGGAAATGGATGGATAAGACTATAAGGGGTACAATGATACATTGATACATTAAGGACCCCTTTTTGAAGAATATAATGGTGAATATTGGAGTGTTCAAAATCCTCAAAGGCATTGACAAGAGTTTTTCAAACTTAGCAACTAAACGTGAACCAAAAGACAAAAGAGGAAGGTGCATTCAAAACTGAGAATAGGGGGCACTTTTAGGGGAGAATAAGGGGGCAGAATTATTTTTGGGAAGTCTGGAAGAAGCTACACAGCCATCTTGTGTATACTCATACTCTGGCTTCTTTTACAAAATTGCTAGATGAGATCCAGTGATCAACAAACAAGAAGAGTCAGTCTTTCTAACCCATTTAGTTTTTGTAGTTTATTGATCTTAGGATGTCATTCATCTGTTTCTTGAAAGAAAACTGGGTATCAGCATCAACAACATGGCTTTTACATAATCCTAAAACCCTTTCCCTCCCCTTTGTAACCTTTTTTTATTGTCTTATGTTATTATATCACTTTTGATTCTAACTATTTCCACGACAGGAAATCTTTTAAGCAGATTGCCAAGAAATAAAAAAGGCCTGTAGTTTTTTTAATCTTCTGATGTGCACATTGTCCACTGACAAATCTTTAGCTCAACTCTTGGAACATTGTTATTTTCTCTTAACTCTCTGAATATCTGGATATATATATATATATTTCTGCTGGATTAACAAGTTAACGTATCAAAGGTTTTAGCATGAACTAGACCATCACATAAACCATTTAATTCATGATTGTCCTTGTAATTCTAAGAATGTTGAAAGGAATTATGTGATAGTGTAGACAGAAGTAAAGGACGCTTAAAAAAACTCTGCAGGTATGGAGATGTCAGTGTCAAACCCTTGAAAAATTGTAAAAAATCATTAGGGTCAAACATACTGTGGAGTATGAGAAAATCTGGCATAATGTTTTGTAATGATCTGTACTGAGGCAGTAGAAACCCTTTTCTCCAATGCAGTCTACAGTGCCAGGATTTGAAGACAGACAGAGACTCCCTTCTAATATATTCCTACCTTCAAGGAAAACCCTACAGAAAGACACCTGTATTAATAATTTCACCTTGGGGAGGCCACTGTACAGCACTACAATTCCTGGGAGAGTTATGATTGCGGTAGAACCAGTTTCTCCAATCTGTTTCATAAGGCTTCTACTTTTGTCCTGTGGAGTAGATGTAAGTAATGAATACTTGGTGTAAAAATGGCAGCCTAGCAGATTTGATCTGTTCCTCAGCCTGGGTGCCGGGCATGATTCCTTTGTCTTACTGCATGAGAAAATTCTTCTGATTG